GGGTGGCTTTCGGCGGCAGGGTGGCTTTCGGCAGCTCGGCTGCACCGCCCGGGGCTCCTGGGTGAGCGGAGGGGAGCGGGACGGCGCGGGTGGGCAGCGTGCATCTCGGGGCTCTGTCCTGTTTGTAATCCTAACTACTCGCTGAGGTCTGAGGATAAAGGTTCAAAACCAGCCCAGTCTCTCATCTCCAATTAATTACCAGGAAGCTGGAAATGGAGCTGTGGCTTAACGTGGGTAAAGCACCAGCCTTGAGCACAAAAGCTCAGAGGTAGCACCTAGCCCCCGAGTGGAAGCCCTGGGGTAGCACAAAAAATAGATATTGTATTTGCATCTGTTCATAGTAATACTGTTTTTTTCCATTTTTGGAAAACTGTACTTTTTAAATGAAATTATTTAGACACAACATGTGAGCTGCTTGTCAGGTATAGAGGTGCACACCTGTAATCCAGTACTCTGGAGGTTAAGGCGGGAGGATGAGAGGTCCCTGCTGGCCTGGTATATGACAAGACCCTGTCTCGAAAGGAGCTGTTTCTGGGTGCTAGTGGCTTTCTCCTTTAGTCCTAGCTACTTCAGAGGCTGAGAGCTAAGGATCGAGTTTTGAAGCCAGCCAGGCGGGAAAGTTTCCAAAACTCAAAATTTTAGGGAAAAAGAAAATCTAAGGGACACTTAGGCCCTGAGTTCAAGTCCCAATGCCAAGCCCCACCCCATTCCACCTCAGCTGCTTTCAGACCCTGAGAGTAGCTTACTCTCCCATGAGTCAGCCAGTGCGCAGGTGTGAGGAGAGGGAGGGGAGGGGTAGAAATGCTCGCTGCTACCCCAGCTCCGCCCTCTGTGTCCTGTGATCTGGGGTGGTGATAGACAGATGTGGAAGCACTTGGGGACAGACAGGAATCCTGTACCACTGCACGGCTTCTATAGCCAGTGTTTATCAGATGCCAGTTGTGGACCAGGCCCAGAGCCTGGCCCCAGTGACCCAGTGTGCTGGGGTAGAGGGAGCTGCCCCCCACGGCGGAGGCTGAGCACCCATCAAAACAGGAGAACGCCAGAGCACTGTCCCCACCACGCGCTGCCCAAACTCTCAGTTGCCAGGCTCTATCCACACCAGTCTTACACATGCGGACGCTGGCGCACAGAGCTGTGGAGGAGATGGCTGAGGGCTGCACAGCAAGCTGAGGGCAGGGCTGGGGTTCGGCCCTGGCTGTGTGGTTGTCCCAGGCCACACAGGAACCCAAGTTCCTGGCGTGGATGTGGTGTCTATAATTTGTAGCAGGACTCCGTGGGCTGGGGTGTGTGGGCGAAGGAGAGTTCTGACATCATTGGAGCCCAGCTGGCATAGGCCTGCCCCTCGGCATTGGTCAGTCACACCTTACTGGCAGAGCCAAGGCCGGTGACTCTCGGCCCTGACCCAGCAGCCACAACCTTGGGGGCGCCAGGTGGAGGCAGGGAAGCCCTGACCCTTCTCCTCTCCCCAGGTACAGCACATGGGAGCCGGAGGAACACATCCTGGACCCTCGCCTCGTCATGGCCTACGAGGAGAAGTAAGCGCCCTCAGTCCACTGCTGGGCCTGGCCTGGCCGGAGGGCAGGATGGGGCATCTGATGGCATAGTCCAGCCTGCTCTGCAGCCAGAGGAAAAGGGGGGCGCCTAGCACCCCAGGCCCCTTTCCTGTGCTGTTGGCCGTGGCCTCCATTTCTGTCTGTAGCACTCTGCCCCTGGCATGGGTTTGAGTTCCCCTGGTGTCCACAGAGGTGCCACTGGCGGTGGCAGCAACTCTGCTGGTGCAGGTCAGAGTCCCTGGAGATTCCCACGAAGGACGGGACCTCCGATGAGGTCAGCTGAGACCTGGAGCGGGTGTGGATGCAAGCCGGGCCTCTGCATGTCCTGAGGGGCTGGGTCACAGAGCCCTGGGTCTGTGACACTTGGGCCATCTGAGACAGGCTTGATGTAGATGAAGAAACATCTTCCCTTCTCTGCTGCCTGGAAGACCAATATCTGACCTAGCTCTAGCCTTGATGCCGGGGCTGAGCCCCAACAGCCTGGCCCAGGGCCGCCCAGTCAGTGGGGGAGCAGGGGGAAAGCCTGGGTCCTTCATTCGCTGCTCCTGGGACTGTGTGGTAGGGGCTGTGGGTTTGTAAGCAGAGGGAACTGAGGCACAGAGAAGGCCCTGATCTCTCCCGCCATTTGAGCCCTGTTGCCCTGAGTCGGTGGTTGTGTTGTCCCACAGAGGTGTGGTGTGCATGTGTTCCTCTGTGGGAAAGGCACCCCGCGGAGCCAGGTATCTGCTGGGCACTGATACTGGCCACGCCCCACGCTGCCCAGCCAGTTGGTACAGTTGAGGCACATGTTTCCTCTTCTGGTTCCTAGGGATCCCTGATGCAGGGACCGTCTGTTCTCACCAGCTCCCCCAAGAGTCAGGGAGTGGGGTTCATAGAGTTCTGTGCAACTCTCCTAAGAGTAGAAACTGAACTCTATTCCAGGGGGGGCGGGGCCTGCATGGTCTGGGCTCCATGAGGACCCTAGGTCCCAAGGGAGCAGTGGCCTTGGTGGGGATACTTTGCCTCCCCGTAGATGTCAGCAGTGTTTCCTTTTCTTTTGCCACCTGCTTTGCAACCCCAGGGAGGAGAGAGACCGAGCGTCGGGGTATAGGAAGAGAGGCCCGAAGCCCAAGCGGCTTCTGCTGCAGGTAACCCCGCTACTGTGGGGCCTCTTCCCCCCTCCACCCTGCCCTGCATGAGCACGCACTCCTGCTGAACCCCCCAAACACACACACACACACACATACCTGGGCACTGCAGGGCGGGACACTCGAGGGGCTGGCAGCCCCGGGAAAGGCGCTGGCAGCAGGAAGGGCGCATTTGTGAAGGGGTTGACAGCTTGCAATCTTGTGACTGAGGCTTTGTGATATTCAAAGTCCCCGAACACAAAATTGCAATATTCCAGAACTTGAGAAACAACACTCGAGAGCTGAGGGAGCTCGGGAGACGCTAGATTCTGGAGTAGAGCTTTGGGCTGGCCCACCCTCAGAAGCCTGGCCTTGGCGAGTGGGAAGAAACCTGTGGAGGCCCTCCCCGCCCCCAGTTCCAGTCCCCAGAAACACCTGGTGTTGGGGGCCTCAGAAGGGAGTGGAGTTTGGATTCTGTGCAGGTTTCTGAGCTGGGGTTTTGGCCCTGTCCTGGGTCACAGTAGTCCGTGCTCTCCTGGACAGCTCATGGGGCCCAGCTGGTGCTTGAGGCCAAGGCATGGGGGGCTTTGATGTGCAACAAGGCCGAGCTGGGTTACTGAGCATCCCCAGTAGCCCTGTGAGGGCGTGGGGGCGTGGCCTCTTCATGGTATGTGGCTACATGGACACGTGGCCTGCTGTGCCAGTACTAAGGTTTGAACTCAGGGCCTCACACCACTGACCCCCCACCCCTCAGCCCTACTTCTGGTTACAGCCAAGGTGTTGTGGAGCCCGATAGAATTGTTAAATATGTCCTCTCTATGTGGCCATTCCCTTACCCATGGGAAGATCAAGGAGCCAGCCTGGAAGTAAGTGCCCAGCACAGCTCCATGTGAGGCACTGCTAGTCTCCCTGCTTTGGGAGACAGCAAGAAGCTCAGGGGGGCTGGAGTTTGCCCAGGTTGCTCTGGGGAGAGGCTCCAGCTCTGCTCTGGGGTGCATACAGAGAACTGGCCTTGTAGATGGTGGGGTTTCCTGGTCTGTGAAGCCCAGGCCATTGGGGGCAGGTTCTGAGCCTGCCACCCACACCCTGGGGGCCTCCAGGTTAGGGATGTGGCCTCAGGTCCATCAGAGCTCTCTTGGGTGACAGGTGGCAGTGGAAGGTGCTGTCCCACAGTGACACAGGAGCTCCCCGGGTCTGGACATTATGGATCCTATAGTCATACAGATTGTCCCCAGAGTCAGTCAGATCCCAGATGGCAGAGCTGCAGGCCCAACTTGGAGAAGAGGGTTGGGTGGTGGCTGCAGGCGCGCTCTGGGCTCTGTCCAGGGCTGCTGAGGGCCGTTCACCTTGCTGTAGCTCTGCTGTGGTTCCAGCTCTTTGCTTCTCTGCAGTGCAGGGTGATTCCTCACTTTGCTTCGGAAAGTCAGATTCTTACTCTAAATGCTGATCAGGAGATGGAACCCAGCCAGGCAGGTGCTCTGGCCTGAGCCGTGCCCCTGGCCATGGGGTGATGGGGCTACAATTTAGGCACCAAGCAGGTGGCCAAGCTGCCGGGGGGGGGGGCAGGGCGTGGGTGGGGATGAGTGGCAGGCAGGCTCTGAGCCTGAACCGTGGGGCTGAGTTGGGGGCGGGGGAACCGCACGAGCGGAGCCGCGGCAGCTGCAGCAGGGCCGGGCTGACCCACGGTGCCCTGGCTTCCCCCGCAGCGGCTGTACAGTATGGACCTGCGGAGCTCGCACAGGGCCAAGGGCAAGGAGAAGCTCTGCTTCTCCCTGACCTGCCCACTCGGCAGCGGGAGCCCCAAGGGGGTGGTCAAGGCGGGGACACCCAAGCTGGTGGACAAGGGCCCCTTGGTGCCTGCCCTGCCCTTCCCGCTCTGCAAGCCGGGCCAGGCCCACAAGTACCTGCGGCTGTCACGAAAGAAGTTCCCGCCCCGCGGGTCCTACCTGGAAAGTCACAGCCATGGACAGGAGCTCTCCCCGCAGGACTCGCCAGCCCCAGATGCCCTGCAGACGGCCGGCCAGTGGGAGCCTGAGGAGCAGCCCCCTGAGGAGGAGGGTAAGGCAGCCCGGCCCTCGGGTCCCCCCAGCCCAGTGGGGGGGGAGGGGGCGGGGGAGGGGATCACACTGGACTCACTGAGCCAGAGCTGCCCAGGAGCCAGCGCGGGTGGGAGGGGCAGCGTGCTGCCTGGGGTCAGCCTGTTGCCCTCTGTGTCTTTGTCCGTGGCTGCAGCAGATGCAGATCTGGCTGATGGGCCCCCATCCTGGACACCTGCACTCCCCTCAAGCGAAGTGACCGTGACAGACATCACCGCCAACTCGGTCACTGTCACCTTCCGTGAGGCCCAGGCAGCTGAGGGCTTCTTCCGAGACCGTGGCAGGAAGCTGTGACCCAGGCTCCCACTCTTCCTCAACTGTTCTCTGGGGTGTGGGGTGGGGGACCCCAGAGACCAGGAGGGGCCGGGGCAGGGTGATATTTCAGTGGAAAAGAAGACTCCCCCCACAACCCTCCCACCACCCAACCTTTCTCGGTGAGGGATGGAGACAGCGGGCCTGGAGAGCCCCCGGCCCAGCCCCGCCTGGCGGCTGGCATGCTAACATCACCCAAACCTCCCTCTCTGCTCGGGCTATATGGTGGAACTGGAGGCTGCTTTGATCTCCAAGGACAGGATCAGATGGAGGCCTTGAGATGGCCAGGCAGGGTCCTGATCCTCCAGAGGCTTCTGCCCTTCTGAGAGCGGGCTGCCCACCGAGCCCCTCCTCCCCAGCGGGTATGGAAGCGCCCACGCGTATGTCCAGCCGCACACCCGTGGCCGCCTCCTTCAGAAGCTGCCGAGAACACAGGGCGACTCGGCACACGCAAACTTGCCACGGAGCCCCTCTCTCCACTTTGCATGCGCGTCCCGTGACGGGATCTGCCGGCTCTGCTTGCTCAGAGCCCAGGGTCCAGCATGCACATCCGGCCAGGCCACCAGTGTGCCCTGCGCACGTGCCACCACACGTGCGTGGCTTCTGAGACAGCAGGGCCTGTCCTTCTCGGCTCAGCTCTTCCAGCCCCCCTCGCTTCCTGCCCTCCCCTGTGGCTCAGCACCCCCGGGGGGTGGGGGAGGTGGCCACCAGTTCTCAGGGCAGCCCTCATCTCCTGGACCCCTCCTCCCCCCTTCTGTGTCCCTCAGGCAACCTGAATGCCACCTTGTCCCCTGTGGAGGTGGAGTCACTGTGTGTGGTGGGCCAGGCTTGCGTCTGCCAGGAGCGGTGCTGCTGTGCCGGCTGGCCGGAAGGACTCCTACCCCAATCCTGTGGGGGCAAAAACGCAGATGGGTGAGGGAGCAGGGAGGCCGGTCCCCCCACCATCGGCGTCCAGGTGGACTGGACACTATGGCTGGGGGCCCAGCACTGTCCCCTGACTGCTGTGTCCCCAGGAAAGCCAGCAGAGTGTGGGGCCCAAGGCCAGGGCAACTTCTCCCCTTTTCAGTTCCCAAACCAAAGAGCGCCTGCACCCATTGTGTTTGGGATGCCGTTAGCAAGACCTTCAAACTCCTGGGCTCCCCTTTTTCCTTAGTCTCTAGTTGTCCAGGGTCAATTCAGTGCTTCCATTGGGGGACAGCCTTGTCGCCCGCCCCCCAGCCCCAGAGGTCAGATGGAGAACAGAAGAGGGAGCAAGGGGGGGCCTCTGCCTGCTCGGGGGGCCCCTGCAGCCCAGGGTCCTCAAAGCAGGATCTCAAGCAGATTGAGTGTGTCTCCCCACTTCGGGGCTTGAGGACACAGGCAGCTTCCAGTGGAAACCACACTCCCCCCCCCCCCCGGCCCTTTCTGGGCCTCTCCATCCGGGTCCTGTGCGAGCGGGTGGGCAGCTGGTTTCTGTCTGCTGCAGCAGCAGAATGTGTTTTCCTGTCTTTCTGGCCCACGGGAATCCGTGGCACAGGGTGGGCCCGCTCTCCTGAGGCGGCTTTTCCAGCCCAGGACCTGGTGGCTGCTCAGACCCCAGCAAGGCCCCGGCTCAGGCCAGGTGGACGGTGACCCCCTCTCCATAGTCCCTACAAGGCCAGTACTTGGACAGGAAGGGGGCCGGCAGCCGCCCGACTGCCTGCCCACCCCTTCCCCCCCTTGAATGTAGAGGCTGCGCTGGTACTTGGCTCTTACCGAGGGTGGGCTAGAGGAGGGGTCACTTGCAGTGCGTGGCCCAGCCCTGGGCTCCGTGGTTCTCAGGACGGTGACTCCATTGCCAAGTTCCTCCGCCTCCACTCCGGGGAGGCCCAGCTGCTGTGCACTGTACAGTTCTGCTTTATAAGTGGTGGTGCGGCCGCCGGTCTCAGCACAAGACGCTTCCTTGCACAGTGAGCTCCGAGCTTAGACTACATGAATGTATTTGGGGGTGGGGCCCGGGCCTGCCCTGGGGGAGGGGGTCGCGAGCGCAGAGCACGGTTTATTTTTGTACTGATATTGGTAAGAGACTGTATAGCATCTATTTATTTAGATGATTTATCTGGTAAACGAGGCAAAAATTATTACAAATACATTAAAGACGATTTTAAGACGTTCTCGGGCATTTGATCTCTGTTCTGACTGAGGCAGAAGCTCCGCGCTCCTGAAGCAGTCTGGGACTTGGGCCCAGCGTCTGCCACTTTTGTGGACAAGATCTTTGACAGGACAGGTCACCCAGACCCTGCTTTCCAGGGCAACTAAGACTCTTCCAAACTCGCTTTGTCCCTACGTGAGACCCCACGGGTCATGCAACATATGACAATGGGCACCAGGCCAGCCCTGAGGCGGCGTTTCTGGTGCCCACACACCGAACTTGTCTGATGGCCTCCCCTCCCGTTTCTGTTTCCTCCAGACTGTTGTTCTGCCTGGACTGACTCTACGCGGTGGTCCTCCAGGGCTCAGCAGAGTTTAGATGTTTAAGATCACCTAGGCCAGCGCTGGCGGCTCACACCCATTATGCTAGCTACTCAGGAGGCAGAGTTCTGAGAACTGCCATCCAAGCCAGCCTGGGCTGGAAGTGGGGCAGTGGCTCAAAATGGTAGAGTGATAGCCTTGAGTCAAAATGCTCAGGAACAGCACCTAGGCCCTGATTTCAAGCCCCCTGGCCAGCTAAAAACAAAAAAAAAAAAAAAATCACCTTAATTTTTTTCAATTATAACATTATTTACCTACTTACAACTGGGCATTGGTGACTCATACTTACAATTCAAGCTACTCAGGAGGCTTGAGCTCTGAGGATTGTGGCTTGAAGCCTGACCACCAGATAAGTCTGTGAGACCAGATAAGTCTGTGAGACCAATGAACCAGTAGAAAGTTGGAAATGAGCCACCACCTTGGCTCACACCTGTAATCCTAGCTACTCAGGCGGCTGAGATCAAAGGATCACAGTTTAAAGCCAGCCTGAGCAAGAAACTCTGAGACTCCTCTCCAATAAAACACCAGGACACCGGAAGTGGCGCTGTGGCTCAAATGGTAGAGTACTTGCCTTGAGTTAAGAGCTCAGGGACAGCATGCAGGCCCCACAACTGACTGACCAAAAAAAAAAAAAAAAAGCTTTGGGACAACACCCATGCCCTGAGTTCAAGCTCCAGAACACACACCAAAAGAAAGAAATGTAGGAGGAAAGACTTTCAGTCTTGGCTAGGGGCAGGGGATGGAGGAGGCACTGATGTTCCAAGGTCACCTTGAATCCCCTCCTGAGGATGGTGTAGGTCCACAGCCCCAAGACTGTTGAGAGAAGAGAAGAAAAAGGATGAGCCATGGGTTGGGAGGCAAGGGGTGGGGTGGGACAGTGGTGACAGGATGACAAGACTGTGCAGGGAAAGGCAAAGGAGGGAGACCTGGGAATTCCTGCTGGCAGAGGGGACAGCAGAGAGCCGGGCGCTGGTGGCTCACGCCTGTAATCCTAGCTACTCAGGAGGCTGAGATCTGAGGATCTCGCTTCAAAGCCAGCCCGGGCAGGAAATAACGTGAGACTCTTATCTCCAATAAACCACTAGAAAACCAGAAGTGGAGTTATGTATAGATCAAGTGGTAGAGAGCTAGGCTTTAGGAAAAAAGCGGAGGGGCAGGCCCCAAGTTCAAGCCCCATGGCCAAAAAAAAAAAAGGGGACAGCAGAGGGTATGGAAAGAGGAGAGGTCTTGGGAGCGAGGGCAGGAGGGAGGGCGGAGGGGACAGAGGCTCGCTCACCCTCAGGATCCGGCCCAGCCTCTCTCGTATGTTCTTGCTGTACGCATCCAGTTTCTCCCAGGGGGCGAAGCTTCTTTGCTGGTGGTTTACAAAGTTGTTCCAGCAGTCAGTAAACTCTGAGGAGGAAGCCACGAAGCCAGTGAGGCCCAAGGGCCAGGGAGCCTGGGCCAGGTCTCCCGCCTGCCTTCTCCTCTCGAACCTTCCTTCGGTAGTACTGTCATTTTTTTTTCTTATTTATGGTAAAGGTGATGAACAGAGGGGCTACAGTTACATAAGTCAGGTGATGAATACATTTCTTTTTGGACAATGTGAGAGACCAAAAATAAGTTTAGCAGTCTTTTCAGACAGAACGTAAACATTTGTCATCTGTTACTGGAAAGTAAGTGTTAGATCCTGCACCAAGGCAAGATCACAGTAAGAATTATTAAGGGATCACAGTCCAGGCATTTGGGCAGTCTCTCCCCCCAACTCTGCTGAGAAAACATTTAGGACAAGACATAATTCAGCATTCCTGTGGTTAGCCCCACTTACCCAACCAATGATGTCTGATTTAACCTATCCTGTAACCGCTAAGCTAGAAAGTCCCTGCCTTTACCGGAAATGATCATATTCCTAACCAATGAACTTGAGACATCCTTCCCCCTGCTACATACTCAATAAAACCCTGATGGACAAGGGGTCGGGGCTCACAACTCTGACCCGCTGTCGGTGACGATGGTGAGTCCAGGCTCGAGCTTGCAAATAAATGACTCTTTTGCTGCTCGGGGGTCTCGAGTTTGAGTCTAACAACTGTTACCCCTCCCTCATTTTTCCCCCACTTTCCCCTCCCCACTCCCTTTGGGGGGCATCCTTTTTTTAGGCTTTGTTTGTAAAAGGCTAGTACTCTACCACTTGAGCCACAGCTCCATTTCAGGCTTTTCTGCTGATTAAGACATGAGAGTCTCAAGGGTTTTCCCTGTGGGTGCTGGCTTTGAAACATGATCTGTAGATCTCAGTCTCCTGAGTAGCTAGGATTACAGGCATGAGCTACCAGCACCCCACCACACCTCCATTTCTGGCATTTTGCTGGTTAATTGGAGAGAAGAGTCTCTCTGATTTGTCTACCTGGGCTGGCTTTAAACTGATCCTCAGATCTCAGCCTCCTGAGGAGCTAGAGTAATAGGCCTGAGCCACTGGTTCCCAGCCACACTGTCTAATATGGACTACCATCCTTCTTCCCTACCCCATCCACCTGCCCCCAGCTGTCCTGTGGAGACCGAGCCCTCCCTCCTACCTTGGAGGCCCATGATCGCCACCAGCACCCCTGACAGCCACAGCTGATGCAGCCCCTTCTGAAACTTCCGGATCCAGTGGAAGTACAGGCGGGAGGTGAAGATCCTCAGAGTCAGGCGCGGGAAGTCTTTTTTGAGCTTAGCCAGTTTGAAGGCACAATCCAGGCAGGGGCTCCATGTGAGGTAACAGGTGATCTGGTAGTCTTGGCTGGGGTCCAGGCCCATGGACCGAATTCTCTCAATGAAGCGGATTTCTGCATGGTGACCTTTCTGGAGGGGTGCCACACATGGAGAAGAAAAGGTCAGCTGGATGCTCACGCCTGTCATCCTAGCTGCTCAGGAGGCTGAGATCTGAGGATCATGGCGCAAAGCCAGCCTAGGCAGGAAAATCTGTGAGACTCTTATCTCCAATGAACCACCAGAAAACTGGAAGTGGAGCTGTGGCTCAAAGTGGTAGAGTGCTAGCCTCAGTACAAGAGCTTAGGGACAGTGTCCAGGCCTCGAGTTCAAGCCCCACAATCAACAACAACAAAGAAAAGGTTAGAAGGCAGAATCTGGAGGTCCTGGGATGGGGGAAGAGGGCTCTGTGAACTTTCTAATGGGGGTGGAGTCTGTAAAGAAAATGGAGGACAGGTGGGACTTGTAGTTAAACCCCTAAGGGAATGTTTCACCCAGGGGCAGGTACATGCAGGTGCACCTGGGTTATGAGGTGAAGGTTGAGTTCTTCAGGGTCTTGCCCATCCCCACAACATTCCCAAAGCTCCCTGGCCTTTATTTTACTCTGTGCGCACGCCAGGATCTAGGAGCTTGAACTCAGCCTGGACTCTGTCCCTTAGCTTTTTTGCTCAAGGCTAGCACTCTGCCACTTGAGCCACAGCTCTACTGCCAGCTTTTGGTAATTAATTGGAGATAGAGTCTCCCAGGGGCTGGGAATGTGGCTTAGTGGTAGAGGGCTTGCCTAGCATGCATGAAGCCTGAGTTTGATTCCTCAGTATCACATAACCAGAAAAAGCAAAAAGAAAGCCAGAAGTGGTGCTGTGGCTCAAGTGGTAGAGTGTTAGCCTCGAGCAAAAGAAATCTCAGAGACAAGTGTCCAGGACCTGAATTCAAGCCCCAGGACTGGCCCCCCCAAAAAAGTCTCACAGACTTTCCTACCCAAGCTAGTTTTGAATGGAGATTCTCAGATCTCAGCCTCCTGAGATCAGCTAGAATTACAGGCGTGAGCCAAGGCACCCAGCTCCCCCTGGTCTTTAAACCAGATCAGGCCATCAGTGCCCAGAGGAGAGAGGCCAACAAACAGGCCACACAGGACACAGTCCCCCATGCGCTTGGATTACTGACCCAAGAGTTGTTCAAAGATGGTTCAAGAAGAGAGCTGTGCTGGGCGCTGGTGGCTCACGCCTGTAATCCTAGCTACTCAGGAGGCTGAGATCTGAGGATCTTGCTTCAAAGCCAGCCTGGGCAGGAACATCTGTGAGACTCCTTTTTTTTTTTGTCGGTCGTGGGGCTTGAACTCTGGGCCTGGGCGCTGTCCCTGTGCTCTTCAGCTCAAGGCGAGCACTCTACCGCTTGAGCCACAGCGCCACTTCTGGTTTTTGAGTGTTTTATTGGAAATAAGAGTCTTACGGACTTTCCTGCCTGGGCTGGCTTTGAACCGCAATCCTCAGGTCTTAGTCTCCTGAGTAGCTAGGATTAGAGGCGTGAGCCACCAGTGCCCGGCCTGTGAGACTCTTTTTTTTTTTTTTCTGTGAGACTCTTATCTCCAGTAAACCACCAGAAAACAGGAAGTGGCGCTATGGCTCGGCTCAAGCAGTAGAACGTGGGCCTTAAGCTGAAGAGCTGAGAGGGACAGCGCCAAAGCTCAGGGTTCCAGCCCCCTGACAGAAGAAGAAAAGGGAGGAGGAGGAGGAGGAGGAAGGGGAGGGGGGGAGGAGGAGGAGGAGGAGGAAGGGGAGGGGGGGAGGAGGAGGAGGAGGAGGAAGGGGAGGGGGGGAGGAGGAGGAGGAGGGTTGCTGAACAGCAGCAAAGCAGGAGGCAGGTGTTGTTCAGTGGGGGGGGGAGTGCTCAGAGGTTGGAACAGAAGGATGAGCAGACACTAACACCTCTCCAAGGGGCAGGAACAGTACTCGGTAGGAGGGACAAAAAAAGAATGTGGGCCCCCCTCAACCCAAATCAGGGAGACAGTGGGGGTTGAAGTGGTCAGGGGATTCATGTAGGCTTGCATGATGCATATTTTCATGCGTAGATGGAGTGTATAGATAGCCTGCCTCACGCTCAGAGAGGAGCAATGTTACTTACACCTATAATCCCAGCTACTGAGGAAACTAAGATCTGAGGATTATGAAGCCAGCCTGGGCAGACAAAGCTAAGATTTGGTTTTTGTTTTTGTTTTTTGGTTGGCTGTGGGGCTGGGCCTGGGCACTGTCCCTCAACTCTTCAGCTCAAGGCGAGCACTCTACCACTTGAGCCACAGCACCACTTCCGGTTTTCTGGTGGTTATTTGGTGATAAGAGTCTCACAGACTTTCCTGCCCAGGCTGGCTTTGAACCACCATCCTCAGATCGCAGCCTTTTGAGTAGCTAGGATTATAGGTGTGAGCCACCAGTGCCCAGCCAAAGCTGAGATTTTTATCTCCAGTTAACCAGCAAAATGCTGGAAGTCGAGGTGTGGCTCAAGTGGTAGAGTGCCAGCCTTAAGTGAAAAAGACAAGGAAGAGTGAGCACAGGTCCCTGAGTTCAAGCCACGGGGCTGGGGGGGGGGCTGGCACCTTGTTTTGAAGGCAGCCTTTGGTGGGGGCGGTGGTGTCCCCGGGGCGAGCCAGCAGGTAGCACAGGTAGGTCCTCCTGCGGGGCCGGTACTGGCCGCAGTGCCTGGGCACCCGGTGCCGGTTGTTGAACTGGAAGAGGAAGGTTTCTTCTTTTAACAGACTCACCGTGCTTCTGCGCGACAAGAGAGAAATCAAAGATACAGAGAGCGACGCAGAACTAGCCGCCCCGGCTGCACTCTACCTACTCCCTGGAGCCCACTTGTTGGGTTCTAAGGCCCTGGGGAGAGGTCAGGGAGGGCCGGGACTACAGGGACTCCATGGAGGGCCGGGACTCTGCAGAGAGGCTCCCATGCGACCAGCTGGTGGAGCAGTGTCGGGGCTGGGCTGAGAACCAAGGGGCAGCTTTCTCTTGGACACCTGCCACCCCCACCCTCCTGGCTCAGACCGTTTGTTCCCTTTTCCCTCACACCTTTGTCCTGGCTTGGCATTAGGGTGGCCTTAGCTCCCTAGGGCCCTGGGGTCTGTGGAGCTCTGACGTGGCCTCCCTGGCTGTTGGTCTCTGGGGCTGGGGCTGGGGCTACGTTTTGGGCTTCTGAGGCTCCTGATTTGGGCAGACCCCTGAGAGCCGCCAGCGACCAGGGCCTTGGGAACCTAGCCCCCAACTTCTTCCTGCTTCAGGCCCACAACGGGGGAGCGCCTCGGGCTCAGACCTGACTTCTTCCCTCCTTGCTTCAGTGCCCTGGCTTGGCAGGCACCTGGCTTGGCAGGGCCCACACTAAGCTTGGTTAAAAAGGGAAAGAGAAAGGAACTGATGAGGGAGGGAGGGAGGATGCACAACGGGTGCACCTGTAGCTCAGGAGCAGGATTCTGCACGGTTCAGAGAGGTCACTGCCTAGAGAAGGCCGGTGTGTGCCAGAGCTGCACCCCAGTCCCCCCAAAGCCTCTGAGGGGATGGCTCAGATCATCTCCAAGGAGATCTCAAGTACAGAGAGGTTTCTCAGCCTACTGGAGGTCATCCAGCAAGTAAATGACAGAGCGGAAGTGCTGGCCACTGTTCCCCCTCCACAACAGGCTGCTTTGTTCCCAGGACCCGGCTGGGGTGACTGGGGTGGCGCCTGGGGGAGGGGGAGAGGGCTGTGTCCTCCCCCCGCAGGGCTGCCCAGTGTAGGATTCAAGGACTTGGACTTGAAGCCCACATTCCTGAAGCTATCTGCCCGCCTTGGCAAGCCAAAGCGAGGCTCTTCAGCTTGAAAAACAAGACAACAAAGAACATTCTGTGAGAGCTGCGTCCTGAGAGAGAGGAGGCCGGGCTCCACTGGTCACCTGGGGCTCCCGACCACATGCACAGGAACCCCAGGCACTCTGAAGGTCAAAGCTGGACATGACTGACCACACCGATCTCCCTCGGGATTTATTCATATTCCCCCAAGTAGGGTGGGGGTCTTCCCACTGCCATCATGGATTCTAGAATCCGGGGCCTTGCGCCCTCACTTGACTTTTTCTACTGTGTAAAGCCAGTGCTTCTTTACAGAATGTTTCTACAGCACAAAACTATGTGAGCGAGCAGGGTAGGTACTCTGTTCCTTGTGTTCAGGAATTGTCCAGTGCCAGGCTGATAGGGGATGATATTCTCTTACGTCCGGAGCAACAGAGGCTTGGGGAAGAGTTTAGAGTGTCCCGTCCAGGCCCGTGTTAACCCAAATGCTCAAGGAGTGAGCAGTCAGGTCACAAATGTCTCAAACTAGCCAGAAAGAATCGCTACATGCTGCCCTTGGGACCTACACCTAGACACCCCAGAAAGGGGGCCCAGGGGTGGGGGGCAGAGGGAGGAGCAGCAGGAGAGCCATTGCCATATCTCATGCACCTGTGGCGTGCGGACCACCTCCTTCCTGCTGTCCCTCCCGCGTCTCCCTGCCTGCGTGTTCCCTTCCACTCATGCTCCCGTCCCACTCTGTCCAGGTAGGGACTGGTGGCCAGGGACCCACTGTCTGGCTGCTCCCCTGGATACTTCTTGGCTTCTTCCCTTCCAGCCTTCCTTCCCTCCTTCGGGAGGAGAAGCTGTCAATCACGGCTCCTGCTGCCCAATCCCTTTCCATTAAAGTCTTAATTATGCTTTTTTTTTTTGGTCTGTCATGGGGCTTGAACTCTGGGCCTGGGCGCTGTCCCTCAGCTCTTCAGCTCAAGGCCAGCGCTCTACCACTTGAGCCACAGCGCTGCTTCCTGTTTTCTGATTGGTTTATTGGAGATAAAGAGTCTCACAGACATTCCTGCTCAGGCTGGCTTTGAACTGCGATTCTTAGATCTCAGCCTCCTGAGTAGCTAGGATGACAGTGTGAGCCACCCGTGCTGGCTTAAACGATTTTTGTTTTGTTTTTTTGTTTTTCCATTTACCTCCTTTTACCATTGCTCCCCCGCACCCCGCCACCCCCGGTCTCCATCACCATGGCTAGTCTGCATGCCATTCAGAGTTACATCTCCTGGAGGGTCATGGGGGTGAGACAGGGCGGGGGCGGGGGGCAGGCAGGGAACACCATGTGCCATCACACAGAACAAATGCTCCTGCACTCACATCCACCCTAGCCCCAGAAACCCCTCCATGGGTCCTTGTCATGAGCCCAAATGCACGTGTTGAAGCCTTAAGCCCCAGAACTCAGAACGGACACTCTGTGTGTGGACACGCCCTGGAAACATGGTGATCAGGTGAGGGGTCCCTTGGTGTGGGCCCAATGGCTATCTGGAAGAGGACATTTGGACATACAGAGGCATGGCGGGGACGCATGGGGCAGGGGGACAGATGGGTGAGGGTCAGTCGGGTGGCTAGCTAGACCGGAGAGGCCTAGAGCAGCCCTGCATCATGATGGTCCAGAACGGATGGCCAGGTCTGCAGCCCCAACCCCTGGTTGTCCTGGTAGTCTGGGCCCTCATGGCTGTTTCCTGAAGGATGCTCCAGCCACGCCTGCCTCCAGGGTGTCTCCCCACCCCCATCCGCGCTGTGTACAAATGCTCGTTTCCGTTTAATAATAACAAGACTGCATCTCCAGGGTAGCACTGTGAGGGTGGGGCTCCCAGGCTGGCGAGAGGCCCAGCAAGAGGCGGATCATGGTCTGAGCAGGGGTGAGGGGTAGCGGGGGGGGGGGGGAAGAGACTGGAAGGAGAGGTGGGAGAGGCGAGCAGACACAAGGGAGCCCCTCACCCGAGAATCCTCCTCAGTGTGATTTCCTGTTGCTTATAATTAGTGTACAGCCCCTTCCACGGCCTGAAGGACTTCTTCACAAACTCTTCATAACAGTCTTCAAATTCTGAGATCCAAAACACAAGAAGGACGCTGTTCAGTCCAGGAGGCCTCTCCCCGGGCCCTTGTGTTGGCCCTGGGGCATCTCAGACCCCTCCCCTCCCACAGTCCCCATCTAGCCCCCAGCCCTGAACCTCGGCCTCGCACCTTGGTAGGACATGACCTCCACCTGGGCGCCCTCCTGGCACAGCCGGCGGAGCCCCTGCTGGAACTGGGGCAGCCAGTGGTAGTAGAGGCGGGCGATGAAGATGGTCAGGCTCACGTTGCGGTGCGTCGCCAGGAACTGGGCCACCTGCTCCGCACAGTCGGGGCAGGGGCTCCACGACATGTACCAGGTGAGCTGGTAGTCCTCTCCGGGGAAGAACTCCTCGTCATGGAACCAATGGAGGAAGCAGAGCTCCGCATGGATGCCCTGGGAGGAGGAGGAGGAGGAGGAGAAAGGCTTCTGGTTGGAGGGACAGGCCATGTTGGAAGGGGGACAAGGGGCAGCGGAGGACATGTCCCTCAGAGACTCAGCCCCGCTCTCCACCCCTCCTTAACTCTCTCCTCCATTTATTCCCCAGCCCTCCACCCAGGCATCACTTAAAGCCTCTGAGCCTGGCTCCAGCCAGGCCTGCTGGGGTCAGCTTGTCCCCTGCCTCCTGTCTCTAGGGACAGCATGGGACTCTGTCATCCCCCGGGGGGACCCCTGGACACAGGTGGACACTAAGCCCTTGAAATGTGGTTGTGTGAACTGACACCTACAGCAAGCATAATTTGTGTGTGTGCATGCGTGCCAGTACTGGAACTTGAACTCAGGGCCTACGTGCTGTCAGTAGGCTGATGCTCTATCGCTTGAGCCATAGCTTTGCTTCTGGATTTATTATTATTTTTTTTGGTGATTAATTGGAGATAAGAGTCTCACAGACTTACCAGCCCGGCCTGGCTTTGAATCTTAATCCTCAGGTCTCAGACTCCAGGGTAGCTAGGAGGACAGGCACAAGCCATGGGCATTGGGCTTTCATGAAGAATTTATGTGTCAGCAGTCAGCACAGTGGTTACAGGGGATGCCAGCACTGGTAAGAGCGGCCCAGATGGTTATCTACAGGAGCTCTTATGTATAGGCTCTAAGCAGCTGGGGCAGGCAGGTGAAGTGTGGTTCTGGGTGATAATATCCATGCCATGGGGTGTAGGGGGGCCAGCCCAGCAGCCAGCCAAGCGACATACAATGCTCTGCTTTCAATGAACTTGACCTTTTCCCTTACTTCAAAACTGCTGTAGCACGCAGCTCCATTCAGAGGTGTGACGACAAGAGTTTGTAGATACAGGAGACCCCCCTGGAGCCACAGAGCCACTTCCCACTTTTTTGGTGGCTAAGGAGATAAGAGTTTCCTGGACTTGCCTATCTGGGCTGCCTTTGAACCACAGTCCTCAGATCTCAGCCTCCTGAGTAGCTCAGATGACAGGTGTGAGCCTCCCACTCAGATCTCGCCTTTTATCAGATTCCAGGGCAGTCAGGCTAGGTCGGCAGGGCCAAGGGCTCCCGCTGTCTAACATTTTAGCTTCTTTGTTCTACATGGGAGAATGGCTTAGCTCTGGCCCCAGGCTGGGAAGAGTCTGTCCCATACCTGTGTCTGTTTTTGATTTTGTAGTTACCACACGAGCCACGCCCCCTCCCCTAGCCCTCCATACCTGGTTTTTGAAGACCCTCGTGTCTATCAGGCCTTCCTGTTGTCTTTCCACTCGACAGCATAGGAAGGTTGTATGCCGGCCGTTGGCGTAAAGAAGGTTTTGGAAATGGAAGTAGAATGATCCTTGACTTAAGGTGAACATGGGGTTTCTGGGGACAGGAGAGGATACATACACTTGCAGGGTGTCCTCCAAAGTGACTATGGTGTCACTTTGTCCATGAACAAGCCCTCCCCAGAGGAACAGCTGTGTGCCACCTCCCAGCCATCCATGGCCCTGAGTTTTTTTTTTTTTTTTTGGTTGGTTGTGGGGCTTGAACTCTGGGCCTGGGCGCTGTCCCTCAGCTCTTCAACTCAAGGCGAGCGCCCTACCACTTGAGCCATAGCACCACTTCCGGTTTTCTGAGTGGTTTATTGGAGATCAGAGTCTCACGAAATTTCCTGCCCGGGCTGGCTTTGAACCGTGATGATCCTCAGATCTCAGCCTCCTGTGTAGCTAGGATTACAGGCGTGAGCCACCAGCACCCAGCTGGCCCTGAGATTTCTTTCTTTTTTTTTTTTTTTTGTCGGTCGTGGGGCTTGAACTCTGGGCCTGGGCGCTGTCCCTCAGCTCTTCAACTCAAGGCGAGTGCTCTACCACTTGAGCTACAGCGCCACTTCCGGTTTTCTGGTGGTTTATTGGAGATAGGAGTCTCACGGTCTCTCCTGCCTGGGCTGGCTTTGAACAGCGATCCTCAGATCTCAGCCTCCTGAGTAGCTAGGATTACAGGCGTGAGCCACCAGCGCCCGGCCTGAGATTTCTTTACCATCTTTGTAGGTGGAAAGACGGGGGAGACAGACAGAGCGCTGAGGGCGTACCATCCAATAATACTCAGTCTTCCTGCCGAAGCACCCCCTCCAACCCATTAGAAAATGAAAAAGAACAAAATCCTCAGTACTCACAAATAATAACATTAGATATTTAATTCCTGGCTTCTAGCTATGCATGCTTTTTGATTTTTTTTTTTTTTGGAAGAGGTGCTAGTACTTGGTCTTGGACTCAGGGCCTGGGTACAATCCCTGGGCTGTTTTGCTCAAGACAGGTGCTCTACCACTTGACCCATTGCTCTACTTCTGGCTTTTCTGTGCTTAACTAGACTAAGTAAGAGTTTCACAGCCTTTTCTGCTGGAGCTGGTTTCAAACTGCAATCCTCAGATCTAGCCTCCTGAGTAGCTAGAATTACAAGCATGAGCCCCAGTACCAGGCTTGTTTCATCAGTCCTGGAGCTTGAACTCAGGGCCAAGGTGCTAGCTCTGAACTCCTTGTGCCCCACACTAGAGCTCTAGCACTTGAGCCACAGCTCCACTTCTGGCTTTTTTGGTAGTTTATTGGAGAGAAGAGTCTCATGGACACGGGGCACTGGTGGTGGCTCACACCTGTAATCTCAGCTACTCAGGAGGCTGAGATCTAAGGATCATGATTCAAAGCCAGCCAGGACAGGAAAGTCCCCATGATACTCTTAGCTCGAATGAACCATCAGAAAACTGGAAGTGGAGCTGTGGCTCAAAGTAGTAGAGAGTGAGCCTTGAGTGAAAGAGCTCAGGGACAGAGCACAGGCCCAGAGTTTACATCCCGTGACTGGAAAAACAAAAAGTCTCAGGGACTTTCCTACCCAGGATGGCTTTGAACTGTGGATCCTCAGATCTCCATCTCCTGAATGGGTAGGATTACAGGTATGAGCCTCCAGTGCTTGGCTTTTTTTTTTGTCAGTCCTGGGGCTTGAACTCTGGGCCTGGATGCTGTTCCTTAGCTCTTCAGCTCAAGGCGAGCTGAGTGGGTCTTGAGCCACAGTGCCACTTCCAGTTTTCTGGTGGTTTATGGGAGATAAGAGTCTCACAGGCTTTCCTGCCCATGCTGGCTTTCAATTGTGATCCTCAGATCTCAGCCTCCTAAGTAGCTAGGATTACAGGCATGAGCCATCAGCGCCCAGCAAGTGTAGGGCTTTGTTTGGGCTTTTGTTATTGTCTTAAAGTTAAGGTAACACCTAAATTCACAGCTGCTGTGAACTACTGTTCTGAACTCATGGGTTCCAGTCCCCAAGGAGCAGAGTCTGGCTGGGGAAGTGGGGTAGAGTCGGGGCTGGGGAAGGGGGCCATCTGCCCACATCTCAGAGCTGGTACTTAGTGGTACTGAATCCCTAGCTGGGCCAGGACAGATCCAAGGGTACACCAGATCACCTGAAGTATTGCACAATGCCAGACGGGCAAGCAAACAAATAATGTTCCAGCTGCCGACCCAGAGGAGCTCACGCTGGATCCCAAGTATGGGGGTTACAGGGAAATGAGCGGAATCAGGGTGCAAGGGCTGTGGGGGGGTGCAATTGGTGGGTTTCTATGTGGGGGCTGCGTAAGCAGACACGGCGGTGGACGGGGCAGTGCAGGAGGCTTGTAGCAGGCAGCCCATTACAGAAACAGACATGGCGGGTCTGAGGGGGGCTCTGAAATGGGTCCTGGGCTTATCTGGTGCAGCTGGGAGCCGGTCTTCTGGGACCTGCCCCACCTCAACTGCTTTCAGCCATTTTTTTCCTGTTCAGCAGAACTGTGCAGTTGCGGGTGACACTTGCTTCCTTATCTAAGAAGGTGGCATTTTTCTTGAGCATCCTGTTTTCTTTCCCAAATATCATTAGGACCAGGGGGTACTTATGTTTGGGGGATCCTCTGCTGTCCCTCTCTTCCCTGCCTGTTCCGGAGAGGCTCTCCTTTCCTCCCCTCCCCTGAGGCTGTTCATAATTGTGTAAAGATGACAGAAAACCCATCAACATGCTTTAACCAAAAGTTTCCTTCCCAGTCTGACTTTTTCTTCAATTTTGACTCATGACAAGTCTAGACACGTCCAGGAAACCCGAGTTACCCCCCCCCACCACCCACCCATTGTTACTTCTGCCTCAGGAAAGCCCCGGGCCACTGGGCAGAGGAGGAGGGGTTAGGGTGGCCAATATGGACAGCCTGGGCCTCACTCCTGGAGGGGGAAAGGGTGCTCTCAGGGGACCAAGGAGCCTGGAGCAAAGCCAGGGCTGGAATGGGGAGGCCGGGGCAGAGGCTCTGCAGCAGAGCCACAGCATGGGACCCACAGGCAGAGCGTTACCTTATCTGTGTAGACGGATACAGACATCCCAGGCAGGAGGGTCCCAGCCCGGCTCTCGGTCTCTGGCGCTGCAGCTGCATTTTGTGCTTATGAGGCTCCTGATTTGGGCAGACCCCCTCCCCTGATAACCGCCAGTGACCAGGGCTTTCTGAACCCAGGCCCCACCTTCTTCCTGCTTCAGCCCCACAATGGGAGGGCTCTGGTGCCCAGCGCCTCCTCGGAGCTCAGCCCTAACTTCTTCTCTCCTTGCTTCGCTGCCCTGGCTGGGCAGAGGAGTCAGGGCCTGTGTGGGCCAGGACGGCCAAGATTGCTTAGAAAGGGAAAGAGAAAGTAACTGATGAGAGAGAAAGGAGGGAGGCGGGAGGCGGGAGGGGAGGGAGAGGCGGAGGAGGGCCAGGCAAGGCAGATGCTCCTCCCTGGTGGCTGTGCGGAACCCTTCGCTCACCACCTCTACTCAGCTGAGCCCCTGGCTGTTGGATGAAGGGAGGTGTGGAGAGTCTGGGGGTGATGGAAATGAGGATTACAGGTGGGGACTTCACTGGCAACAAGACAGACAGACAGACATATATTTTGGACCCTTAATTGGGAACTTCCTTCTCTGCATTAGTCACCTGTAACTTCTCAGCTGCCCAGGGTGACCAGGCCGCTGGGGACACTGATCAGATAGCACCAGGCAGCAAAGCTAGACCTAGAGCCCAGCATCTCTGTCTGTCTGTCTGTCTGTGTCTCTGTCTCTCTCTCTCTCTGTGCTGAGCACACATATAGCATCATGTTTAGACTAATAAGTTTCACCCAATTTATTCCAACACTTCAAATATACCAGTATTAATCCACACCAATAACTCCTATCCTCCATTCTACTTAGTGTGGCACACACCCAGAGAGCTCACATGGCACAACGCTTGGTCCGGAGGTCGAGGGGAGTCCGTCCAGGGGGTCCTCCCGGCTGCTCTGGACGGCTGGAGGGGATAGCAGCTGCCTTCCAGTTGGAGGGGGATGTGGAGTTGCTCCCCAGGGAGATCATCTCACTGGGTGGGGGGTGGGAGTGGGGGGTGGGGCGGGCCCCCTCCCTGTGCTGTTTTTTTTTTTAATTTTATTTTATTTGTGAACATGCTGTACAGAGGAGTTACAATTACATGGGCAGGATAATGCGTACATTTCTTACCAAGCATTGCAGCCTCCTCCTTTGTTTACCCTTCACATCCCTTCCCCGCCTCCCGCCTCCCCCCCAATCCCAATCTTTCTCCTTCCCCCCCCTTCCCCACCCCCACCAACGTTGTGAAGCTCGTTTTGGACATGACAACTTGTACTTCTCATTGTTGCAACAGGTCCACCTGTATCTTTAAACAACTGGTTTTTCCCCATCTCCTCCTCAAGTTATACTGACATCAAATATAGTGAAAGCAGGGGTTATACTGTGGGGGAGGGACCCTGTGCTGGGTTTTTATGTGTTTCCGGCTGGAGCTCTTCTCGTTGTGTCTGTCTGGTTATCACTGCAGGTTATACTCCAGCTGGTGACTGTCTTCGGGCCTCTGGGTGTGTCCTGATCTCTGTATTCCATACTACATCCTCCTAATTCATACCTTCACGGTTTAATATATTTCATAGCACACCTACACTCCCGATTCCAGATTCCATATCACACTATATCAATATTCCGTAATACTCACTGAGGTGACCCACACACACACCAAAATTAGGGCATCTGAGCTAGTGTTCACTAGCAGGAAGTCCTTCCTGCTCTCTGGCCACAGACCCTCGTGCTGAAGGGAACTTACTCTCTCCCTTGAGCCCTCCTCCCTCGGGAGAGGAGGAGCACATGACCCCAGAATTTAGTAGTCCCAGAAGTCTGCAAGCTCTCAAATGTACACCAATGAATATCATCCATCATTTTCCCATTTGAACTGCCAACACATACTGGAAGGATAGGGCAAGCATTAAAGGCAGGACCTCTCGGTAGAGAGAAACCCCAGGTTAATTATTAAAGGAACTTCTCAGAAGCAGAGACTCAGAAAATTAGGGAGTTAGACAAGTTAAATGTGGTAAATAACAGTGAGACTTAGAAAGAGCCTGCAAACCTGGAAGGTGGTTTGATTTTGGATGCGATAAGTAAGAAATTTGGACTGTGTTTTGGTAAATGTCAGGAATGAAACAAAGGGGGAGCCTGGAAATGTCACTTTTGCCTCCATGACTTATGGAAATTGTCATTGTTATTTGGGTTCACTAACGGCTAGTTCTGCTTCTGTCAACCTGCTGGCTGTCACGTACACTGCCACCTGCGTGTGACCTGCTTGACCCTTTAATACTCTGCCGCAAGAGAGCTTGGCTGCTGGTCTTCACTCTCTTCGTATAGTGAAGGGCAGTTGAGGCGGCTAATAAAGGTTCCTAGCCCGACTGATGAGTGTTGGTGACTCCTTTCACCGTTTGTGGGTTCAAGTCCCACCTACCCCAGGAAGTTGGGATGGTTCGCTCACTACACTCTCTCTCTCTCTCTCTCTCTCTCTCTCACACACACACACACACACACACCACAGCTTTCTGATTATTTAAGTTCATCTAAGGATAAACCCCAGAATTCTTTGGAGGAATGAATGCACACTGCTAGCTAATCTTCCTAAACATGTGTCCTCAATGGGATTTTTGTCCCAAGAAAAGCTGGGCTGTGGGCGGTGTCCCTGGGCTCCTCTGCAGGAGGAGGCAGATCCCCATCCCCGAGCTGATGCCAGCTGTTAGCACACATAACAGTGCCCCCACCTGGCGGAAGGCTGATCTACCTCCTCACAAGCCCGGCTCCCAGGCCTTGAACTTTTTCTGGTGTCAAGGAAAACAAATGCCCTCCGGGTGGTAAATCAGAAATGGACACCTGTTAGAAGACGATATAGCCCAGCTCTGGTAGCTCACACCTGTAATCCTAGCTACTCAGGAGGCTGACATCTTAGAATCACAGTCTAAAGCCAGCCAGGGCAGGAAATTTAGTTCGACTCTTTTCTCCAATTAACCACCAGAAAACTGGAAGTGGCACTGTGACTCAAAGTGGTAGCATAATAGCCGGGCACTGGCGGCTCACGCCTGTCATCCTAGCTACTCAGGAGGCTGAGATCTGAGGATCAAGGTTCAAAGCCAGCCCGGCAGGAAAGTCCATGAGACTCTTATCTCCAATAAACCACTCAAAAACCAGAAGTGTCGCTGTGGCTCAAGTGGTAGAGCACTGGCCTTGAGCTGAAGAGTGCAGGGACAGTGCCCAAGCCCAGAGTTCAAGCCCCATGACCGACCAAAAAAAAAATGGTAAGCCGGGCGCTGGTGGCTCACGCCTGTAATCCTAGCTACTCAGAAGGCTGAGATCTGAGGATCACGGTTCAAAGCCAGCCTGGGCAGGAGAGACTGTGGGACTCCTATCTCCAATAAACCATCAGAAAACCGGAAGTGGCGCTGTAGCTCAAGTGGTAGAGTGCTCGCCTTGAGCTGAAGAGCTGAGGGACAGTACTCAGGCCCTGAGTTCATGACTAAAAATATACCCCAAACTAAAAATGACAGCCATACTCATCTATAAGTGAGTATACATAGCACCTACCTAATAAGGTTATTGGGAAGGTTTATGTAAGAAACCAAACACAGTACTTGTTCAATAGTCACATTGATCACATTGGTATGTGTGTATACATGTATGAAAATATGGCAAGGTCTAATAATATGTTTTTACATCTAGCTTGCACATATGAGAAAGATTTGGAGGATATTTTGCTTTTTTTTTTTTTTTT